TTTTGCAAACCCCGAAGCTCGGTCCCGCCACATGTTGGTTTGAAGTCCAACACCCCAACCACTGAGCCACTGGCTCCTTGTTCTGTCGGCTGCGATCGGGTACATACGATTGTAGAGGTGCGCTCGCTGATCGCGTTAGGGGACACACCCGCCGATGTGCGACTACTTGCGGGGCTCAAAATTGAGCCGTGAGGCACAGATACGGACGAATGTGTTCCGTAACACGATCGGCGGGCGTCCCTCTAACAGAAGCATTTGTGTCCGGATTCTGATTGATCTGCTCGCTTCCGTCGTCAAAATCGCACTCGATTACAGTCGCCTCCAACTAAGCCCTTCCGACAAAATAAACGCTGTTGTACGAAACTGCATTCGACGTAATGACGACTCATGTGTTTTGGGAGCTGCCTGTTTCCACCTCTTTATTGCCGTCTCTGTTAACCTGCCTCATTGAGGTTTGGAAATGGCCGTTGCGGTTTGATGTAATGCCTGGCCTTGAAAAAAGCCACCAATTAGCTTTTAGCAGTACATGAATACATGGACTTTCCAAAGGCAAACGACCGTGGAGGTGATTGGTGCCTGACCGTCAGAAGTCAGTTCCCGCTCGGTCGTCTAGCCTCCAGCTTACGAAGCCGGCTATTTCACTCTCAGCACCGTCCGAGGTTGGAAGAAGGGCGGGTATAAAAAGTGCCATTTTCGTACTAAATTATCCACGATGATGAGCTTGGGTAGATTTGAGAATCGTCGGACGAATATGTGGTTGCATACCCCCATAGGCCCAGAAACTGTTCCCGCACACCGGAGCTGCAAGGCTGGACCGACTTCGTCCTCTGGCCACGTGCGTCAGTGGTCTCACGACGGTACCGCCCGTTTTACGGTCTTCAAGGTCAATCATCTTGAGTTCTCACTTCTTGGTCAATTTGTCCGACTTTGAAGCCTGTCTGGAGCCACGCGGAATAGAGACACACCTGTCCGAAATAGCCTCCAGTAACAGTTCCTTTGTCCTGCCTACTATCTGTGCTTGCTACCGGTAACTTGTAGGACCTTGCTTAATAAAAACTTCCTAGTCAAATGTGTTCTTCCGCCCTCAAAACTAGGTATTTGAGATCTCAATGGTTTTTGATTATTCTTCTTTGCCTATGTCTTCTTATCATATAGCGTTCACTAAGTAAAATCCCTTTCATCCTTAAGTCTACAAAATATGTAGGAACTATTTCCGCCTGGTTAGTGGATACCTTGACAGATGAAATATTATATTCCTACTCTCCTATGAGCGTAAGACAGTTATATTCCAGTCAAATTTTCAAGTGTCCGGCCAAAAGCGTGATTATCTGATGACGGAAAAGTGAGCCAGAAGTAGCCATTCCAGCTTGAAGAAAGGAGTCCCCACAAAGATAAAGGAGATTGAGACGCCCGTTTCTGGCCAATTAGCCCGTCATCAGCACCCGAGCCTCCAACCCGCACTCATTCAGGCCTCCTTTGGTCTTTTGAGCAACGCCTCTGGATGACGTACACACTGTAAATGCTCCAAGAAGCGGGAAAGGATCATAGGAACGTGGTCTGTTTTTCAGCAGGTCACTATCTTGTGGTTCTTCTAGGTGTCGCAAGCAGATCTCCAGCTCTTGCTATTCAGTCATCATTTAGAACAACTTCATCGGCTTTGTCGAAAGGGAATCAGTGAAATAATGGGAGGTTAGGAGTGACTGGTGCTGCCAAATCTTGCGATTCAGGTACTTCGGGATGTATGAGACTGGCATCAGGAGATCGACTGGGTCAGGCAGCACCAGGGAGCGGTTTCCGTTTCGGATATTTTATAGCTTAGGTCAAGTAAGTCGTGGTGTTGCGATGCTGAAGAATGCACTGCGACCTGTCTTCTGTCGGTGAGAAGGGGCCCTTCTACAATATTATTTTGCAATGCTCGACGACAGCATTCTGACAGATGGGAATCGAACCATGTCGTTCAGTGGTGCGCAGCTGTCCACACACTTAGATTGATTCTCCATTCCCACTAAATCACCAAATAAGCCAGCTCTGTAAGATTTCGCTGACCGCGGACCTCCAAATCCAATATGTTACGAGGCCTCCGTGCCTGGTAGAGGGATTAGTCCGTCCATACTATTGATACTTCTACGCCATATCACTCGGATTCCAAGCCCACATTGCACTTCCACTTTAGATGACGAGCTCGGCTGTGGCAAACAGTTGTGTTCACGTGTTTGTTTACCCCAATAAGGTATTGATTGAGAGTTTTACGCCTTAGTAAATCTTCTTTACTTTTTTTAATAACGCCTTCATTCCAGCGATCACCACATTTGTGTCTGACTCCACTCAACCCTTGATTATGTCACAGGGTAACCCTGAAATTTCGGAGTAAACACTGCCAGAGGCGGGCTGTTAAAGCTGCCCTTCAACCAAGTCCCAACAGCCATTGCATGAGGGAAATAAGGAACGTTGCCCCACTACAAACCGGAGCCCTAAACCATAAACCGCAGACAGAAACCTCTCATGAAAACTTTATTATAATGGACAACACGAACAACACTGACAACACAACAAATTCTAGAGGAGGCGCAGTTATAAGGTAGGTAACGGGTGAGTTCAATCAAGACTATTGCTCGGTTGATTGTCAGCCAATTGGCAGATGCCCTCTGTACTTACCATGGTGTGAGCTATCACTGTCGACGCGAGGTGACGTGGTCTTCTGAAGTTGACGATCATGTAGACGCGCCTGAACTGGGACGTTTATGAGGCGAGCCCCATTGCAAAGCAAAACTCTGTCCTCATTACAAATTGAGGAGAGGATTTGCATCCAAGCGAAGTTGCGTGTTTTAGAAGTGGAAGGAATGACGAACTCAGGGGACAGGAGCCTACTGAGCTGATCTTTCGGACTGTTTGTCGAGTTGAGCCTCAGCAATGCTTGACAGGCCAGGCAGATAAATTTTAAATCCACTCAGTCAGATCCATCTGCTACGCGTTGGCTTCGTCTTACCCCTGGAGAGTGCATGATGAGTCAGGAAAAGATGTGAGAGCGATTTTGTGAAACTCTCGTTCGCCGGAAGTCATCCCCTGGTTCACAGTCCCCATTGCCATCCAGTCGTCAATGAAGACCAAAATTCGCAGAGGCAGTAAGCACTTTTTGCATAAAGAAATGTTATTGATTAAGACCAGGGACAGTGCAATGGCCCTGGTTAGTTTGTTGGAAGACATCAACCAATGATACTGCAACCTTACGCTCTATCTCATCCGAGGCTTGCACTCTCTTACCACATGAGATATTGCGTTTACGCCCACTGGCCTATGACAGTTATGAAGCCAGCAGTGGCCATGCCAACGTCCATTCTCTGTTGGCAACATTTCTCGAAGACTACCTGGTGATGGCTTTTCGATTGCCCGCGTGGGTTTCAGACTCGGAGCGCCGAGGTGAAATAAAAGCTTTTTTCCGTTCTGCCGTCAGGATAAGTCGGCGAACGTCACCCTTCTGTGAATTTCAAAGAACGCGTGTTCGTCCCTCCCTGGCCTACCGTTAGAGTATGGATGTCCACAAACGACGGCAAATAAGTCGGATATGGTCATTCTAGCCTCCTTTCTAGTTGTCCAGGAATTTCCTCGCTTAAAGACTACTCATTGCTGTGGGACAGCCTGCAAAGCCTTTACACCGGAACAGCGAGACAAAGCGGAACGCCGTACTTCACCCTGCGAATGGGATAAATAGCTTAGAGTAACACTTCTGCACCTCTCCACACAGTTCTACTGTTGTTTAAGGCTACTTGATTATCAGAGAAATTTGTGTATATTGTCCGCTGTCTTGTCAGTGCACTCTGAAGCCTCTGCTATCTAAAATTAAAGTTTCCACATGCCAGCTCGTCGAGACTGCTGGCCTGTGGAAAACACCGAATCGTTTACCGACCTCCTCCGCTTTTCTCCTGGCAACTCCTGATCCTAAACCAGTTGAGAATCCGGCTCGTTTGGGACCTAGAACCCAGATGAATGACGTGGTTCCCCACAGCGGGATGCACTGTTAATGCGCCAGGCCAAAACGGACTTCAGATTGACTAATGACAGACGTTAATTGGGCTGTGCAGAGTGCGTGTATGTCACAACCACCGTTGCACATGCGAGGCGGGGGTGTGGTTGCGCGCCTAGACGTAGGCTTCACGTCGCGCCAGTTCCTGTGCCCGATCCACGCATCAAATAGTTAACCGGCTCGGAAAATCAGCTGGTGCATGAGAGAGAGAGAGAGAAAAAAAAACAAAGGGCGATGTTGGTGTTGAGGAGTCCATCCCCAAGGCACATCAGTTCCCTCCCCAGTGTAAACCATATGACACGTTTGAGCCTTCTATGACACGTTAAATGTCGTGCCTTGGAAGGCTGCCAACTGGTGGAGTAACTCGGTCCCTTCAGGGCTGAGAGTCAGGCCCAATGGTTCATTTTTAATATGGTCCCTATGGCACTCCCACGCATGTGAAATTCGAACCAGCCCTACGGAAGCCCGGTACACGCTGTGCAGAGCAGGGCATGCGTGGCGCGTGTAGCTGGGATGTCTAGCTTTGTCTGCCATTGCGTCCGATACCGCCTTCGGTTGTCTTGGCGACGTCTTTCCATCCGAGTCAGGTGAGGGAGGAATGAACTCAGTAGATGTTACGCAAGTCTGCCACCCTATAAACTAATTCACGCACAAGTCAACGCTATCGTGCTCGCTCGTGGTGCACACGATAGGCTTCACCATTCGCGACGGTGACAATGCGCCGAGCCGCCAGTTTCCTGAACCGTACATCTAATAAGGAGAAGAGGAAGAATATGAGTCAAATACGAAGCACATTTACTAATTATGGAGGCGCTTCTTGAGTCCGTTAACAATGACTTAACCATACAGCTCTCAGGAAACGGGACGAAACGAAGATTTTACAAAACATTATTGTTAATTGTATTAATGCAAACTTATGATACAAGTACTTTAAATTCCACCTACGAGGAGACGGACGATGTGTAAGTCGTCCCATTCCCTAAGACCCTTCGCGGGTAAGTTCTAATTCCCTCATTACTCTCAAGACAGTCTCTTCCGTGTAGGGAAGACCAGCCACTTGCACAGCAACTGGAAGTCCTCTACTACCCTTCTGTAACCTAGCCACGTAGGCATTCATCCTGTCACCCTCGGCTTCAAAACGTTCAGTGTTCCGTAGGGCAGTTCCCACATCGTCCACGCTGACCGAGTGAGTTTGAATCACCCCGACGGGCAGGTTGACAAGACTGAAGAGCAAAGTGTAGGCCAGGGCGGCATCTATGTAAGTAGAGGCAACATCCATTGGAAGGGCAGGGAAGGAGATCACCGGGCAAATCACCACATCGAAGGGACCATCATGGGAGTTCCAGCTCTGCAGAAACTGCTCTCTAAATTGTTTCAATTCATGAATCGTCCTCGCAGCGCCTGTCGCATTAACACAACCACATAAACCCTTGCAAATTGCACCGAGGGCTGGCCCATAGAGCAGTCCAATAATGCAGGTCAGGGCTTGCTTGATTATCCTTGGTAGCTGGCAAAAGTAAACAGGTAGCCGCATGGATTTTGTCAGTGGCTCATCTTGAAATACGCGAGAAATCTCCACGCCTCCATCGGCATTCATTGCACGAAAGCCGAGCTCAAGAACTGCGATAGGATCTGGAGGCGAAAAGGCCTCGACATGGTGTCCGTTTGCGCGCAGACTTTGGACTGCCAGTTCGACAGCTCTAACAACCGCTGGTACAGGTTCGGGCACAAACTTCCCCGGGAACGTCGTGAAGTAGCCCACTCTTAGTCTTTTTCTAAGGGCGCCTTCAAAGGCCTCCCTGTTGAAGGGGATCGGTATAACCGTTGGGTCCATGGCAAATATAGAGGGTGCGCAGAGGGCTTCCATGGTACGCACCAACAATCCCACTTCTCGGGCAATGGGTCCGACACAGGTCTTTGGATTAAGTGAAGAGCTTTTAAAGGCGGAAACTACACCGATTGTGGAAAGGCGTTCAAACGTTGGTTTGAGGGCGGAAACGCCACAGAAGGCCGCTGGAATTCGAAGACTGCCCGCACTGTCAGTCCCAAAACCGAGCATCGATCCCCTCTTTGCGATGAGAATTGCTTCCCCACCTGAACTGCCACCAGAAATACGATTCGTGTTGAGTGGGTTGGTCTGTTTGCCGAAGATTAGATTTGAAGAGTCGATGGACAGTCCAGCTGGAGCCATACTACTGGTAATAAAAGGCACAGCTCCAGCTTTCCGGAGCATTTCGACCAACAGGCAGTCTGTAGTCGCTATACTGCCGATTCTGCTGACGAGTCCGAGAGTAATATCATGATCTTTGATCGAGAAGCTCTCCTTCAAAGAGACTGGAATTCCCCAGAGTTTGCCTCTCGTATCGGCTTCGTCCAGCCAACCCTGATTCAGGGCGCGACCATAAGCTTCACTGATGGGTTCAGCGAGACATCCGTGCGCTTCTAACTTTAGCGCCTGCTTCTGATAGGCTTTAAGCAGTTCAACAGGGGTTATCTCTTCAGCGTTGAATGCGCGAATCACCCGAGTTAACTCCAAGTCGGTTAGACTAACAATTGAGTCTGGCGTTTGCGCTAATAGCTCTCGCAGTTTCTCACGTCGACCCTTTATTTCCTCTTGCTTCTGTTCCAGTTTCTTCAGGAGCTCTTTTCGCTTAGTGAGCTTCAGCCAGGCCTTAATCGTTATCCAACTTAGAATGATTGTGACGTAGACAATCTGCATGTATCCGCCCACGAGCCATTGGTAATTCATCCTGGTTCAGTGGAACGGGGCTAGTCGCGTACTTATGGCTACGCTCAGTGCAACAAAACTAGGGGAATCCTTAGATGACCTTGAAGTTATTGATCGACGTCCACGCCCGACTATGCAGGACAAAACACTCGACAGCGTCTTTTATTCACCTAATAAACTTTAAACTTAATTTCATCCGCTGATAACTTGCTTGAAATAATGGTTATTGATGGTTAACTGGTCATTAATTAAAAGGAATTTTGTGCGAAAATGCATTTTGCGAAAAGCACTCTTTTGCTTTGGCGGTTTAGGCGAACGCGTAACGGATCACCCCGAGTCTTTTCCGTCATTGCCTTCATTATTTTGTCGCCGTAAGTTAGGTGGACCCACCCAAGTGAATGACTTTAGAGTAAGTGTGAATTTTTTAATCAAACGCGTAGGTGGAATAGGGGAAAGATCCCACATCTTTAAGTTTGGGGAGAAACGGCAAACTGATACGGGACAAGGGACAGGTGAATCGAAAGTCTGTTTCGTTAAAAACTAATTGACTTGCAAGTTACGTTTGCATCCACCGCATGGAGCAACGATAAACTTTGTCGTTTGCAACTACCGGACTGTTTTTCGCGCACATGAGGATAATTCCAGTATCAGAGTCTTTACTGTGAGCTCTCACCAGGCGGCATTCACCATTCAATATGTGTGCGATCAGATCTGGAAGTCGAAGTCAGTCGTCCGTGGTACCCTCACGGTCAATTTTTATTGATAGGATGGCATTATTTAGCGTCTTGTGGGTAAAGCCTAGCGATATGAATTAGAGTTAAGTCCTGGTTAGCCGAAATGGGGATCATAGGGGAGCAATGACCTCTGTCGCTAACTCTTAGCGACGATTGGTTGCTCTTGAGTTTAGGTCAACAAGGCATAACGGAGATTTCTATGCCCGCGTTGCATTCGGGACGTATTGGCGAATGACACACTCGCGGGAACTTGTGCCCTTTCTCTTGTGGAAAGGGTGTGTTGTGCAGGCGTTCCATGAATCACCATACTGACTGCACAGGTACTAGTTAAATGTCCAGACACGTTCCGTCGATTTTCTTTCGCTGTATATCGATGCTGCGAGGGGTTCAGCCCATCAGTGGGTACCTTGGCGTTTCCTATGTGTTTTCTGGTGCATACTACAACTTTTAAATCTAAACCTTTCAACGTCCGAAAGAAATATGCTAATTTGGACAAAATTTTTCGGAAAAAACCTTTGTAGGCTCATTTTTACTTATAATTGGTCACCTCAGTCATGTCTTTCCCTCTGACCTGTTGCACTCTGCTGTATTATGTTGCTACTATATGGTCCACATGCCCAAGCTCGTCACCGGGCGGTGCAGATGGGTTAGAATTGCCAAGCAGTGCATGTTGCTCAAAAGGTAAACATCTTGCCCTCAGGCTCTTTGAACGTCAGGATTCATTCAGCTGTCAAAATGAGCCGTCTCCGACCGATGGCTGTGTACTTCGGGCAAACTACAGCCGTGCATTTGAGGTATCAGGATCGCTGGCAGGCTGGGTATCAGGAAAAAGAGGCAGGTGTCGAAGAAAGTGGTTGTCAAAAGGCCTACACCGTTCTAATTTTGAACCTTGCTTGTTTCGGGATGTGATGGTTGATTGTAAAAAGTTTCCTAAATAAAATTATAAGGGTTTTTTGACCTTCTCACTCCCCAACATTCAGCTTCTTGAGTTTGAGAAGGGTCCTTCTGGGATTTAGTGGCCGATCAAGTGAAAACCCTCACTTATATCTTAACAACCCCCTGTTTTGCATTGGTTACTAAATCCACTGCTATCACTCCTCCCCCCGCGACGATTTTCGCGGTTCTTGATGTCATCTCCTCATTTCGAACTCAAGCAGTCTGTCGACGTTCACGGCGGAACCCGCTGTATTCGCCACCTACTGGTAGTTTAGTCGTATCTCCCTTGTACCCCGCCCTCGGCTGGACTCGAAACGGACTGTTGCCGATCGCATCTGGGTTCCTCTCGTCTCGCTCCTTTGACGCGAATAGTCTCATCCGGTGTATAAATTCTGCCCTGATGATGTTTGTTTTTAATCCTTTATTCAATGCCGCATGCAAGCCAGTTCTGTCTGACCCGCATACTTACCCCTCAAGGCTGACATTTATTTCTATCATGGTCATGTCCGTTTATGATCCGTTATACACTGCCACATACAGGCCGGTCCTGCCCGCACTTTTATCCTTTCATGAGCAACAGTTTTTTTTTTAAGGTTAATCCCATCATTTTTCAAAATTCTACAGTGGGGTTTTTTACTGCTCGCTCATTGTTCTTATTAACGGACTACTAATTCAGAAACTATGAATTACATTTTGTACAGATTCTGCCTTCCTCGTCTAAAATTCATATGAATATTTATTTTTACTTGCTATGAAGGGACGCGATGGGTATTTAATTAAAATTCTTTCATCTAGTTATTTATTTATTTAGAAGGTAGAATTAGCAGGACAATTTTTACTGAGGTCGGAAGAATACAAACAGCTCATACAGCAGCGGCGGCAATTTTTCAAGCAGGCTGAAGGTCAGCATTGTTGTGCTTGTTGTCGATGCGTTTGCCTGACCTATGAATTGGGAGGGAAACTCCTCACTGACGCCAATCCCGCTCCAAAATAGGTTACCCCTGCGTGATGCAGATATGCAACCTTATGCCCCCACTCGTCAGACTATCTGCCTAGCCAAGGACAAAAAGACCAACGAAACAGGCTATTCCGAGCGAAATGAACAGCATCCTGGTGACCATGGGAAAGATTTAAGCAAATTCCGTTGTTTAAGTCCAATGTAAGGGGGCCAATTGACACGCCGACCACACCGCCGGTAGGGCAACTGCCATAAGTCAGGGCCAAATTAACCTACTAGGCTCTACAAGTGTTATGCAGTCAGTACGAACTAAATAAGGCGCTAATACGGTAGGTTCCGGTTAATCTTGCCATCGGCTGATTTAGTCCGCCAACCACTTTTTGAGCCAAATTACGGAAGAAAATAAATAGAACATGTCTGCTACTGCGAAGTCGCCAAGGCGGCCACTTCGGTTAATCAAACAGGGGCTAGTGTGATATCAGATAGATACGGTTAAAAGGGTGGACCGCACTCGGCTGCCCACTAGTTCAGTCAGGCGATATGTATAGCTCTGTAGCCGGCGTAACAGCTCATAAGGCCGCACAGGAATCCCAGTGAGTTGCTACCGATAATGCTGGTATCGCGTCATCTGACAGTTCGACCATCGATTTCGATGATGTCCACCGTATGCCCCACAGCTGCAGCTGCAACGGTGGGAGCAGGGACGGTGACTTACGCAGGGGTTTATAGTGCTGGTAGACTTGCGCTGCATCTACCTACACTCTCACCTCCTCCCCCACCTGAGCCCGGTGTCAAGACAGAGTCAAGAAGACCGGAGACGGGGAGGCCGCAGGTGGATGGCTCGGACGGATCCTCGCCTTGGCGCTCCACTCCCCACTCCCTGGTCCACACACAAATGACCAGGATTTTGACCACAAAACAATGGGGTGGTGGCAGTGGTCCAGTTGTGCGACGAATGCCGACAACAGGGTCCGCCAGCGCACCCCGCAAATGTTGGCATTCGTTATTGCGCACAGATAACGCCTGCCAGAGTCCGATGTGGCCCCCGTGTTGGTCCACCGCATCTAGCACGTGGACCGTTTGAAGGGCACTATCGCGTCATTTAACGGGGCAGCCTATACCAGGGGTGGCCTAAGGAGGAATGAGTTGTGCAGCGATGGGCGCTTGATAGAAGTGAGAGTAACAGCCGTAGTGTCTCTCAAAATGATGCTGTTGGTTCGTTGGCTCAGGTCAACTTCGGTCCACCTGATGGCTCGCTCAGGTGACGCATTGGCTCAAAACCAAGATGCCGGGATCCATTTAACGCTCTCCGGCAATACTGCCTTACTGAACCGAGAAAGGACCCAAGGAGACAAAATGAGTGATTGTCGGTTGACAGAGAAAACAGGTCTGCCAAAATAAACAATCATACACGTGTCAAGAGAAAAAGATAATCGGTTTGAAGGACTCGAGGGAACATCGGAAAAATAGAAAGGAGAAGGGCCGGATCGAGACGTCCGTGGTCCTTAATCATAAATCCCCCACAGTTGGCTCTATCGCTTAATCAGCTGGAAAAAAATTGGTTCTATGCAGACCGGTTAATCGAAGTCCACAGTACATTTAACCGGGAAACAACTGGAACACACGAGTCTTAAAGAGCCAGTTAATATACAGCGTACTCAAGGATCTCGACCTTACTTATTTTGTACTTGTGCTCATTTGCTTCTAATGAAATGCTAAAGTTAGTCCTGAAGCTCAGGTTTATGACGGAAGCCGTATGTTCGAAACATCATGAACTATTGATAAATCAGACACGTCGTTAAAGTAAGAGTCCAAACTGGCAAGACGCATGCCTGTCTTGTCTAACAGATTAGATTATTGGAGTTAGCAATAATGCTGCAGAATTTTGAAATCGAGAAATCAAAGCATTACATAGACGTTCTGTCGAAGTTGTCAACATGCATGTCAAATGTTCACATACCAATTCTGACCGAACCTAAGACTCCACGCTGCTGCTATTGCGTCCCAGTTAAGCTCACAAAGTTCTTATGCATTTACAAATTTGGAAGCAGTAATTAGCATCAAGTCACAAATACCCACGGAGGACCGAGACGGGTCAGTGGTGTGCCATGCGCCTACCTGGCGCGTCCACCTCTGGCGCCTGTCAGCACGTCACATACGCTAGCACGTTTGCAGCCACGATCAGCCACAGGTACCAACGCGTGAACGGACAACCACACTTAACCCACCTACCGGACGCGCCTTGCTGAGTTAACATCTTCGGACTTTTCGGCAGAAACCGGCTTTCAACTTCTTCTCTTTCCAATCCGAACCTCACCTAACGGTCATAGATGTCAAGGTATGCTCTTTGCTGCAGCTGCTGCGGCCAATTCACTGAGAAACCGAACCAATCG